AAAGCTGGAGAGGGGCTTTGGACAAGGGCGCGTAGTGACAGGACATGGGGCAATGGCTTTAAACTGAAAGAGGGGAGATTTCGATGGGATCTAAGGAAGAAATTCTTCCCTCTGAGGGTGGTGAGGCACTGGCACAGGTTGCCCAGAGAAGCTGTGGCTGTCCCATCCCTGGCAGTGTTCCAGGCCAGGTTGGATGGGGCTTTGGGCAACGTGGTGTAGTGGAAGGTGTCCCTGTCCATGGCAGGGGGGTTGGAACTGGATGATCTTTGAGGTCCCTTCCAACCCAAACCGTTCTGTGATTCTGTGGTTCTATGACTGACAGTTAAATACTTACAAAACGGTGACTGAGCATTCCTAGTGGACAGCAAGCTTAGCAGGAGAAGCAGCACTACGGTGGTTAAGGTTATTTAGCCTGAGTAAGAGCAAAGCTAGAAGCGTGGTTCATTACAGCTATTAACCCAGCGGGCTGCCAAAGGGTCTGAGGTAACTTACCCCTGGGGCCTCCTTAGCCTCTGCTTTAGTTTCTTTATTCGTGTCCTGGGGTTTGGAAGCTGCTTTCGCTGCAAACATCCCCATGATCCCTCTGGGCTGCTGCGAGGTCTGTTTGGCGGCGGACGGAGCGTGGCCGTTGAGCGCAGGCACGCTGGCAGCGTTCGTGCCGCTCGCTGTCTGGGAACCAGCCTGCGCCGACGTCGGTGCTGGAGAAACGTCGGCCGGCGTCCTGGGGACCGCGGCAGCACACTGAATGGCACTAAACCTGAGTGATGGAGTGAAAAATTTAGTTAGCCTTTTAACTTCTTATTTTGCACCTCGGTTTCCTCCCCAGTAGCACCTTGCTTCACTGGTTTTGCGTTCTCCTGTTACGGGAAGAGCAATTTAATTTGTGTGTAGGGCAAGAAAGAAAAGCTGGCACAGAACGAGAGAGATGGAGACCTCTACTGAAAAAATCAGCTGAACCTCTCATCTAGAGCCAGAGCATTCAAATGCTAAAGAAGCTGTTCAGACTTCATGGAGGGGGGAAAAACCCAGCTCCACACCCAGGGTGGAGAAGGGGCGGACTGCGTTTTATTCCTGAACGGGTTACGCTCTCTAAAGTTTGCAGCATAAATCGTATGGCTGTGTGATGATGTAAAACATTCACAACTTTCAGAGGCTTTGACAGAGTCCACCTACTGCTGCAACAAGCAGCCACCATTGTACCGGCAAGGTAAGTAAATCACAACTGAAGATAAACGACTTAAATGGCTCAGAAGATATCCCTCACGTTCCGACTGAACTATATAAAGTCATCTCTATGGAATCACTAGTAGACAAAGATGCATCTCAGCTCGTAATGGTCTGAAACAATCCCAAGCACAAGGACAGGCTGGGCGGAGAATGGATGGAGAGCAGCCCTGAGGAAAAGGACTTGGGAGTGCTGGTGGATGAGAAGCTCACCATGAGCCGGCACCGTGCGCTGGCAGCCCAGAAAGCCAACCGTGTCCTGGGCTGCATCCAGAGCAGCGTGGGCAGCAGGGCGAGGGAGGGGATTCTGCCCCTCTGCTCTGCTCTCCTGAGACCCCCCTGCAGTGCTGCCTTCAGCTCTGGGGTCCCCAGCACAAGAAGGACATGGAGCTGTTGGAGTGGGGCCAGAGGAGGCCACGGAGATGATGCGAGGGCTGGAGCACCTCTGCTCTGGAGACAGGCTGGGAGAGTTGGGGCTGTTCAGCCTGGAGAAGAGAAGGCTCCGGGGAGACCTTCCAGCACCTTCCAGTGCCTAAAGGGGCTACAGGAAAGCTGGAGAGGGGCTTTGGACAAGGGTGTGTAGTGACAGGACAGGGGCAACGGCTTTAAACTGAAAGAGGGGAGATTTCGATGGGATCTAAGGAAGAAATTCTTCCCTCTGAGGGTGGTGAGGCACTGGCACAGGTTGCCCAGAGAAGTTGTGGCTGCCCCATCCCTGGCAGTGTTCAAGGCCAGGTTGGATGAGGCTTTGGGCAACCTGGTGTAGTGGAGGGGGTTGGAACTGGGAGATCTTTGAGGTCCCTTCCAACCCAAACCGTTCCATGATTCTATGAAACGTGATTGTTTGGGGATACGGAGATATAAGAACTGAACGATGTGCTCACAGTTACAATTCCCTGACCGTCAGGAATAGCAGTACCCAAAAATAACTGAACTCTGCTTCCCACCGCGCAAATCACAGGCCAGGCTTTCCAGATTTCCTACAGAAACACCACAAAAGAGCACAGACTCACGCCTCCCAATCTGCCGAATTACACAGCACATTTTCATTTGCATAAGACACAAACCAGTCTTCTGCCAGTGAATTTCTGTGCCCCAGCACGAGCAGCTCACAGGCACCGTCCGCTTCTGCTCAGATCAGGAACCGAAACACGTTATCACAATGGCACCCTCTGCACAGCATTTCCAGGCTGCAGCAGCACTCTCCTGACATTTAAACCCTCAAAAGAAGGAAAGAAGACATTGAAGAAAAATATTCCTGCTTTCCTTTATGCTTCCTATCGGTTTTCAAGACGGTCACCACCACTCCCTGGGCAGCTTTCCCTCCTGCTCCACACACACCCATAAGCAACACCATCAACCTTCCAGGCTGCAAATAATGTTTTATCGTCAATAGTTGCACGCATGTCTAATCCTCACACATTCCAGGGGCTTGGGAAGTTAGCTTGCCTTAACGCTGCCGTGTGACTCTAGTCCATGGGCTTGATCCAAAATTCACTAAATAATCACTGCAAAAACAAGCAATGTTTGGACTATGCTCTGCAAGCAAGGAGCTGCTTCCGCTTGGAAAGCCGACGTTAGCAACATGCACTAAATCCAGTTATTTATATTAGTACGACATCTAATAAATGTTAATAAATAAATTAGCACAACATCTAGCCACCTCCACAGCACAACAGGGCCCACACAAACACAAAACAGAATAAAGATCCTTGCCCCGGGGCTTGTGAGACATAGAATCATAGAATCATAGAAGGTTTTGGGTTGGAAGGGACCTCAAAGATCATCCAGTTCCAACCCCCCTGCCATAGGCAGGGACACCCTCCACTACACCAGGTTGCCCAAAGCCCCATCCAACCTGGCCTGGAACACTGCCAGGGATGGGGCAGCCACAGCTTCTCTGGGCAACCTGTGCCAGTGCCTCACCACCCTCAGAGGGAAGAGTTTCTTCCTTAGATCCCATCGAAATCTCCCCTCTTCCAGTTTAAAGCCATCGCCCCGTGTCCTGTCACTCCACACCCTTGTCCAAAGCCCCTCTCCAGCTTTCCTGTAGCCCCTTTAGGCACTGGAAGGTGCTGGAAGGTCTCCCCGGAGCCTTCTCTTCTCCAGGCTGAACAGCCCCAACTCTCCCAGCCTGTCTCCAGAGCAGAGGTGCTCCAGCCCTCGCATCATCTCCGTGGCCTCCTCTGGCCTCGCTCCAGCAGCTCCATGTCCTTCTTGTGTTGAGGAACTGACTGAGAGGACTCAGTTGTGATACACGGACTGAGAGGGAAGCATAAGAAGCCAGTAGGGTCTGTCTGCTACAAACATGCACATAATTAAACCTCTGTCTTTTGCAGGTGCTGCAGGAATCTCATCCGAAGCGTAAAAGACGATTCATGCAGTTGACAAGGGACAGGGAACATGGTCACTCTGAATTTAGTTCAGCCAGGTCACAAATGAAGAAGCTGAATTTTTCTTAGTTTGCTTGGGAAAATCCACTCCAAAGCCAGGAAGGGATTTACACATGGGCTTCAGAAAGCTATTTCAGAATCTGAATTGTCTAAACCTTCGGGATGTCCAAGTTGGAAAGGCAGACTGCTCTAAGACACAAGTATTACTACACAGGGGTGCCTGAGAGTAAACAGACCAGAACAAGGCAACTGCAGCCAAACCTGTGGCACGTGTCTTCGCTGAAGCAGAGTTTTCCAGCACTCACCAGGGTATCAGCATTCCCATTTGAAACACACAGCTTCTAGGACGATTTCTCAGCCACTCGTCGACATTTTGACGACAGCTACGTTTCTGCTTTCAAATTCTATATTCTTCCTATGACACAACATTCAGGCATCCCCCTTCTAAACCAGATTGGTCATGGCACTGCACGTACCGATTACATCAAGCTGAAGCTGTCGTGTGGGAAACAACATATAAATGAAAAGCCACAGCTGCTGGGCAATGTGCAGGAGGAGAGACAATGACCCCTGGAGACTGAAGTCCCTCTGAATTCTAGGACAACCTTTCACTAGTTCAATCACGAAGGACACTTAGAA